GCAATAGAACAATTTGATAGCAAAGGATTTAAATTACAAATTCAAAATTATCTTTTACAAGTTTCTTAATTGAAATATGTGTATACCAAATTTTGGTGCGACTGGACTTCTAAGAATTATATTAAAGGCCAAGAAAAAGATAAACCAAAGGAAACGTCAAAGACAGCAATAGGGTTGCTGTGCATGCTGAATTGCAAAGTTCGGCGGCGAGTATCATGGCGCCGTTGAGCAGCGGCTTAGCCGTTCGAGCTGGCGCAATAGTAGTATTATTATAAAATATTTTAGTTATTTTATCACGTCAGTAATATAAAATATAAAAAATTTGTTTACAACTGCCACTTAACAAAGCGGCGTTAAATTTAATATAAGCGGCGTAAGTCTTTTCGATCAGCTGTTTAGGCTAAGCCCAACACGTTGAGTTCAGGTAGCGTAAAAATTTTCCGCTGGAAAAAATGGCGGAAAGTTGCCAACTGTTGGGCTGAGCGTAACTACTCAACTGTACGTTTCTAAGACAAACAGCCAACGGTTACCCAACAGCTACGACTTATGAACGCATCCATTAATACATGCATACATTCGCAAATATGAATGTATGTAAATCTTAGCATCAATGCTCCCAGTAGCGAAAATGTTCACTGGTGACATCGTCGCTCTTGCTGTGAATCCTAAGCGACATATATCTGCCAATGACACTGGTGACAATTTCTTGCAGGAGTACTCCTATGAAAGACTTATAACAGAAAATGTCTTGCAGCGGTCAATTATAAAAAGTTCATTGCAGGACATTGTCGCTTGAATGTCATCAATGATCACTGCATGGCAAAGTCATGCGGGGGCCATCAACACCTAAATTGCCATTTGCATGAAAAAGTCATGAACGACTTCCATGTAAACGAAGCCCAAAGTCATTGAAGACTTGATATGGCCGTACGGGACACTTAAGTGACTAATTCATGACATTCGCTACGAGGCTATTTTAAAAATTCAAATTCGCTCAATGCTTTCAATAGTCAAAAAAAGCCTACTGAGGTTTGAAAATATTATAGTCAGCGTTATGAACACATACATGCGCAAATATGAATCAAAATCTTAGCACGCCTATGGAATGTGCCACGCCCTGTTTTATAAAGTCATTTATATATGCCATACTATAAGCACCTAACATAGACATGCCTGCATACCAAATTTCAAATTCTTTAGACTTATGGTTCCGAAGTTATAGCTGATAAAAAATTCCACGCCAATGGGATGTGCCACGCCCCCTTTTACAAACTCATTTATATATGCCATACTATAAGCAAGTACCATAGACATGCCTGCATACCAAATTTCAAGTTCGTGTGACTTATGGTCCCGAAATTATAGTTGATCAAACATTCAACGCCTATGGGATGTGCCACGCCTCCTTTTACAAACTCATTTATATATACCCTCCTATAAGACCTACCATTGATATGTCTGCATACCAAATTTCAAGTTCGTGTGACTAAAGGTTCCGAAGTTATAGCTGATAAAAATTTCCGCGCCTATGGGATGTGCCACGCCCCCTTTTACTAACTCGTTTATATATTCCCTCCTATAAGCACCTACCATTAAAATGTCTGCATACCAAATTTCAAGTTCGTGTGACTTAAGGTCCCGAAGTTATAGCTGATAAAAAATTCCACGCCTATGGGATGTGCCACGCCCCCTTTTACAAACTCATTTATAAATACCCTCCTATAAGCAGCTACCATCGATATGTTTGCATACCAAATTTCAAGTTCGTATGACTTGAGGTTCCGAAGTTATAGCTGATAAAAAATTCCACGCCTATGGGATGTGTCACGCTCCCTTCTACAAGCTCATTTATATATACCCTCTGATAAGCATCTACCATTTATATGTCTGTATACCAAATTTCAAGGTCATGTGACTTATGGTTCCGAAGTTATGGCTGATTAAAAATTTCACGCCTATGGGAGGTTCCACGCCCCTTGTAGGATCCCAATTTTTTTCACCCTATTATAGGCCCAGGAGTCATGGCAATACTCTGTCAAAATTTTGTTCGATTCTGTTCGTCCGTTTAGGCTGCAACGTGGCACATACATACATACTTCCACAAATATATAGTAGATACAAACATATATACTTCTAGTTTTTTTATCTATATAGTTTTTTGTGTGTTTTTAATAAAAAAAAGTAAAAGCAATGGATTCTGCGCTTAATGCAAATCAATCCATTACAAGCAGAATCTCTGCTCTATATCAGGAAATAAAAAATTTTAGGGGGCAAAATATTGAAGAGGGACAGATCCAACGTTGGAGGGGTGTAGTAACCGATCTGTCTAGGCAATTTGAGGAGAACTATTGTATCCTCAAAGGGGCCTCTTCAACCCTAAAAAGAAACCCTTATTTTAAAGAAAATCATGCAGAGCAAATTAGAGGATTTTTCAATAATACCTCAACTCTGATTTTGACCATGGAAATGGAAGCTAAAGTACTAAAAGATAGCTCGCAAGCAGCGGGAGTGATAGTCTCACGACCAGCACCCCAGTCACCTACATCTAGTCACACATTAGGTTCAATTGCTACAGCTCCCTTGATTTCAAAATCAGAACGGCAATTAAAGTTCGTGTTAGAAGATCTTAGCAAGAAGATTGACAAATTTTTGGGAAATAAGATTCCAAAAGTCTTCCTTCTGGAAAGTGCCAAAGAAGCTAAAATGATGTATCGCAATTACGTAGGAGAATGCGACGAGAATAGTTTAGAAGATTTATTTCAAAACGTAAGTTTTAAACTCGATGAGGCTTTGGCCTTCGCTCCTGAAGATAAAAAACCGCAGAATGAAAATCTGCCCTACACACTGCCAAAAATAGATTCTCCGGTATTCTCTGGAGACTATATTCAGTGGAAAACGTTTAGAGAATTGTTTTCCCAATTAATAGGTTCAGCCAGTATCTCGGATACACAGAAAATGATTTGTCTGAAATCAAAGCTAAGAGGGGAAGCGGCAATGACGATCGCGAACCTACCAGCAAATGCAGAAAACTATCCAATTGCTTGGAACCTCTTGGATAATAAATATACCAACTTGAAAGCGCAAACTGCCATTAATTTTTCGAACATAATGGGGGCACCTTATACGACTGAAAATCTAGAAAGTGTAAAAAGTTTGAAAGAAGTGATTGAGGAAAATTTGCAAGCTCTAAAAGCAACAAAATTGAGTTCTGAAAGTATACTGCAAGCCCTTTTAAATTTCATTTTAATACGAAAAATGAGTAATGATTTAAGATTGAAGTATGAAACTTCACTTCAGAACTCACGAGAAATACCCATTGTTGACTCATTGGTGAAATTTTTAAATCATGAGTTTTATGCACTGCAAGCAGCACAAAAATCATCAAAAAGGGATGGGTCATCCAAATGCGATGATCATATTAAAGAATTGGCAAACAGAAGGAAATCGAATGCATCATGGGATGTAATAATCGGCATTTCCTTTTTCAATGCGCAAAATTTAAAGACCTTACCATTAAAGAAAAATGGGAAAAGGTTAGAAAAAATAACTTATGCGAAATGTTTAAAGAGTTGACATTCGAGTAAAAATTGCAATGGGTATAATTGTCGTATATGTAATGAAGGTCATAGCACATTCTTACACAAAGTTAGTAATGAAAAAGGTGCAGTGACAAAAAGTACCATTAAGCAAGGATGCGCAAATTCAGAAAAATGCATTTTGTTAGCTACAGCGGTTGTTTATATCCAAGATGCAAAAGGCAAATGGATCAAAGGCAGAGCGCTTCTTGATAGCGGCTCTCAAGTAAATTTGATGTCAAAATCGTTCCTAAAGAAATTAGGACTTAAGGGCAAAGCAATTAAATCAGCAGCGATAGAAGGTGTTGGCAAAACACGTTCAAAAATTGAAGAACGGGTAAATATAAAAATTAAGTCCAGAATGCATATGAGTAATTTCGAAACAAATCTGGAGGTGCTAATAGCGCAGGAATTAATGTCCAAATTGCCGGCAGAAGAAGTCATTATTAAAAAGATTCCAAATAACATTGAATTAGCTGATCCAAATTTTAATGTTCCTAAGGAAGTGGACATATAATAGGTTACGAATTAACCTATGGGGATCTGTTTGAAGGAGAAAAAATTTCATTGAATGAAAATATTTTAATAGCCCACAAAACCAAATTGGGTTGGGTTATTACAGGAGCTGCAATGATTATAGAGCCTCATACATTTGCACTTTGGCCTCATTTTCCGAGCCCACAATAGAAAACCAAATAAAACAGTTTTGCGAAATTGAGGAAGATATGGAAAAAGACAAAAAAATTTTCAAAAGAGGAGGAAGACTGTCAAATTATTTTTACCAAAACCACAACTAGAAAAGTGGATGGGAAGTTCGGTGTAAACCTCCCCTTTAAAAGAGACATTGAACAATTAGGAAATTCAGAGATTACTGCTAAACGAAGGTTCTTAGCTATGGAAAAGAAATTGGAGAAAAGCTGGGAAGTAAAGTCACAGTATCATGAATTTATGAAGGAGTATATAAAATTAAACCAAATGGATGCTCTAGCCACTCCAAACCAACTTCAGTTCAAATGTTATTTACCTCATCATTATGTACTGAAGCCAGATACCACTCCTACAAAATTGAGAGTAGTTTTTGATGCATCTGCAAAAACTACTACAAATATATCATTAAATAATTTATTACATACGGGGCCAAGGCTTCAAGATGATTTATTTGATATTCTGATGCGTTTCAGAAAACACAAATTTGTAATATCAGCAGACATTGAGAAAATGTTCAGACAAATTTGGGTAAACGAAGAACATCAAAATTTCCAACTAATTTACTGGAGGTGGAAGCCATCGGAGGCCCTAAAGACATACAGATTAAAAACTGTTACTTATGGCACTGCGAGTGCAGTAAAATGTCTACAAACAGCAGCAGAAGATAATAAAGATAAATTTCCAACAGCTTCACAATGCATTCAGTCAGACTTTTATATGGACGATTTGACGACAGGTTGTGATAATCTAACTGAGCTAAAAAATATGCAGCAACAAATAATTCATATATTAAATTCATATGGATTCAAGTTGAGAAAATGGTGTGCTAATCATCCTAGTTTGTTGAACGAAATTCCTAGCGAAGATCGAGAAATAAAATTAGATATAACATCTAATAAAGCTGAGAATATAAAAGCCCTAGGAATCGCTTGGAATCCAGCTAAAGATCACATCTCAATAAAAGCTTATTTAGAAACTGACTATAAAATTACAAAGCGCCAAATACTTTCTGATATTGTGAAACTATTTGATCCTTTGGGTCTTTTGAGTCCAGTTGTAGTGGTAGCAAAATTGATACTACAACAAATATGGAAAGAAAAAATCGACTGGGATCAAGCCGTTACAGGAGTAACCATGCGATCATGGGTACATTTAAGAAATCAAATGAAATTATTAAATGAAATAAATCTTCCCAGATACGCATTATTATCTGATGCAAAAGAAATCGAATTACACGGATACTCAGATGCATCCATGAGAGCCTATGGCGCTGTGGTGTATGTACAATCAGTAGACAAATCGGGAAATATTAAAATAAATCTATTAGCTTCCAAATCCAAAGTAGCCCCATTAAAAATTCAGACGTTACCTCGATTAGAACTATGTGCTGCGGTACAGTTAGTAAAATTAATGGAAAAAGTATCAAAAGCACTTAATCTAAAGGACAAGCATATTATTTACGGATTCAACAATCGTCCTTAGTTGGCTACAATTAATAATAATAATAATAATAGATTGGCGCTTACACATATGTTAGTGTTTGGCCGAGCTTCTCCTCCGATTTGTGGTGTGCGCCTTGATGTTGTCACACAAAGCGGAGGGGCCTACAGTTTTACGCCGACTCCGAACGGCGATTGTATTTTTATGAGAAGCTGTTTTTCATGGCATAAATACACTCGGAGGTTTGCCATTGCCTGCCGAGGGACGACCGCTGTTAAGAAAAAACCTTTTTTCTATATTTTTTGCGACATTGGTTTGAACCCAGGCGTTGCGGAGTGGAAGCGCGCACTGCTTACCACTACACCACAGCGGCCGACCTACAATTAGATCCTGCAAAATTGCAAATATTTGTGTCAAATAGGGTAAAGTTTATTCAGGTGCACACCAAAGCGCTGCAATGGAAACATATTGACACAAATTCAAACCCAGCAGATTTAATAACAAGAGGGTTATATCCAGAAGAAATAATTAATAATAGTCTGTGGTTTAATGGACCAATGCACTTAGCTAACATGGAGTCATACAGAAAAAAAATTGTCACAAAGCCTTTAACATCGCTTCCAGATATAAAGATAACTGCTATAACAGTAGGCGTTTTGGTAAGCAATTGCTCTTTAATTGATTCAATAGACCACAAAAATAATTTTGAATTCTTATTAAATGTGGTTGCTTTGCTTATCAAATTTAAAGATATCACATTAAAGCGTCCTAAGAAAGAACTCGAAATTCAGAATCCCTTATATTATCGCAAAGAAGCTTTGAATTTCATTTTGAAATATATACAAACTAAATATTTTAACAAAGAACTAAGTCTCCTTTCAGGTAACATAAATTTAGAAAAGAGCTCGAAGCTGATAACTCTATCACCATTTTTGGACAAAAATGGCATCATTAGAGTTGGAGGACGTCTACAAGAAGGCAATATTCCAGAAGAAGCAAAACATCCTGCAGTACTTCCATATGAAGACACTTTAATTAAAATTTTGGTGGAGGGAATCCATCAAAAACATTTACATATAGGACCGCAAGGCCTTCTCGCAATATTTAGGCAGAAGTTTTGGCCTTTAAGGGGCAGGCAACTCACAAAAAGAATTGTTAACAATTGCTATAGATGCTTCAGGGCAAATCCTCGTCCCTATTTTCAAATCATGGGTAATTTACCAACAGATAGAGCAAGATGCACCAGGCCCTTCTTGAATACTGGGGTTGATTTCTTGGGTCCTATACAAATTCACCACAAAATAAGAGGAAAACGAGTAGATAAAGCCTATGTGTGTGTATTTGTGTGCTTCAGCACAAAGGCAGTTCACTTAGAAGTGGTATCAGGTCTAAGCTCAGCAGCTTTTATAGAAGTCTTAAAAAGATTAGTGGGAAGACGTGGTTGTCCTGCAAAAATATACTGCGACAACGGAACAAATTTCATTGGGGCAGCAAACAGTTTACATGAAATTTATATATTATTTCAAAAGGAGCAACTCGGAAAAGAAGTCTCCTCGTTCTGTGCTGCATTAATTGGGTGAATATACCAGCTCGATCTCCATACGTAGGAGGGTTATGGCAAGCCGCTGTTTAATCGGTTAAGAAGCATTTTCACAGAGTAGTTGAAGGCACATTGACCAATGAAGAGATGTGCACACTCATGACCCAGATAGAAGCAGTATTAAATTCACGACCTCTAACACCATTATCGGAGGATCCGAATGACTTCCAGGTTTTAATTCCAAGTCATTTTCTTATAGGGGAGAATTTAACGCCACTTGCAGACAGTAGTGAAAACCATTGTTATCACGGGGTGCGGGACCACTGGAAAGCAGTGGAAAGAAATTCAAAGGAATTTTGGAAGCGCTGGTCACTGGAGTAAGTAAGTGAACTTCAGCAAAGAGTCAAGTGGCAAAGGCCACAAGATAACTTACCCCAAGGGAGTTTAGTTCTCCTTAAGGAAGAAAATCTTCCAACAATGACTTGGAGAAGGGGCAGGGTTGAGAACCTCATCATCGGAAAAGATGGAAAATGCAGGATGGTAGACGTAAGGACCAGCACTGGAATGACAAAAAGATCAATAACCAATATTTGTCCTTTTCCTACGGAAACGGAAAGAAATATAAGTAGGAATGAGGAATCCCATAAGAATAGGAACGTAAGGCATAAAAATAAAAATGTTCTAATGACGATGTTAACCTTTTTATTAGTACTACCACTCTACAATTGTCACGTAATTATAGAAAAATTTAGGGACAAGTCAGGGATATTAATAGAAAGGCAAGACAGTTTGGGTTTGACGAAGACCCTCGGCTCTACAAAAACTCGCCAAGCTACTGGACAAGGGAGACACAGAATCTCAAAAGGTAGTTGAGACCTTAGTTAATCAGGTCATTCATCGCATTAAAGAAGTCAACCAAAAGGATGCACTGATGAGATTTAATGGAAGAAATAGAGTATCTAGGTCTATACTACCATTCGTTGGAAGCATGTATCATTCAGTGTTTGGTCTAATGGATGATAAACACGCAGATGAATTGGTGGCGACAATAAAAAGGACCCATAAAAATGAAGAATACATGCTTAAGCTATACCAGAATCAATCCTCCATTGAAGACATAACGCAAGAAGTTTTGAAGAAACAAAATTAAGTTATTCGAAATAATTTTAACCAAATATCTGACTCCATACAAATAATAAAGAAAGCGGCTGAAAATGAATTAGCAATGGAAGGCTTTCAAAACTATATAGCAAGCATTAACATTGCAATAGAGTCAATAGAGCAACTGCAAGGAGATATTACGGATTTGATGCGGAAATTTCATGAAAAGGATTTTACCTGTCGACAGATTCCAAACCCAAATAGCAACAATTACGGCAAATTTAAATGATGACTTACCGACCCGTTTGAGCTCTCAAAAATACACCAAGGCTTCTGTTTGTCACTTATACAATGCCAACAGCTACAATTATTTGCATTGACCAGTTATCCGATTTTGCACGACGGCTACTTCGCGAGCTTTAAACTCGCATATGAATATCTGTTAGTAAATAAGGAGAAATCAATGTATAGTAGCCTGACAGAAACTAAATATTCGTATTGCCAGAAAATGAGAAGAATCACGCTGTGTCCCTAAATTGGACCACTCTACAATGTAAGAAACGACGATTCGTGCGAACTAGAGCTATTCTTTAATTCGAAGCAATTACCATTATCATGTGTGGTGAATATAATGCCTCTGCAAGAAGTTTGGTTGCAGCTTAAATCCTCAAACAGCTGGCTGTAATCCGTCCCTGAAGACACAAAGGCAGAAGTCAGTTGCGGCAGCTCTTATACGGCACATATTTTAGTTGAGTAAGGCATTGTAAAACCAGGGACGTGAACCGGTTTTGGACCGAACCGGTTTTGTACCGGAAAACCGCTTTTTTATATAAACTAACTGAACCATTAACCGAACCGAAATTTTCCACAAATGTCGGACCCGAACCGAAAACCGAACCACTTTTCATAAAGGTTTAAAGGTTCGTTTCAACCAATTTTCAACATATAGATTTACCCCTTTTTTCGTTTTGTTAAATATGGTAATACATACCATGTTTGTTTACCATGTGCCAATATCAACCTATCTCATTTGATCAACTATTCAGCTACTGAACCAAATTCATTAGCTGATTGGATATGCTAAAGTATTTCAATAATTGATAGTGGAAATGATAGTTTTCTTTATAGTAAAAATCGAATCCGATATGTTAAACGTGCTGGATTGCCTGTTAAAATCTTGACATTCGTTTTGTTCAAAACTAGTTTTGCATGGCTTCAATAACAGAGGTCAAAAGTGTCTTGACACTCGACATGGAATATTAAAATTTACCTCAGCCAGAAGGGCTGGGCTATTAATCAAGCCTGTCATTAATTTTACGATAAATATTATACCTAGCATTTCTTTACAACTTGCGAGTGTAGGGAAATTTATGAGCTTTAGACGACTAGTGTAAGGAAGGAGATTGTAGTCTTAATCCCAGTTAAAATCACACAATGCAAAAAGGAAGACTTGTTTTTCAACTGATTCAATTCATTCTGAATGAACTTGGTAGCGGGGATTACAGACAATAGGTCGGTATTCTAGTATAGGTCTAACTAAAGTGGTAAAAAGAGCTTTTGTAACATAAGGATCTTTGAACTCTTTTGACTAGCTTTTGTAACATAAGGATCTTTGAACTCTTTTGAATATCGCTTTACAAATGCAAAAACGCTTTTGGCTTTATTGACTGTAACACTAGTATGAAGGTTGAAATTGAGTTTGGAATCCACTGTGATACCACGATCGACAAAATGGGATGCCTGCTCCTGATTATAATTTGATATTGAATAAACAGTTGGTTGAACTGCCCTTCGAGAGAAACACATAACTTTACATTTTTTTTAAGGTTTAGTGGCATATAGTTTGCATTAGACCAACTAACCACGTTGCTTAGATTCGCTTGTAACAAAGACCTTTCTTCGATAGGCGATATATTTTTTGTATTTCCGAACCGTTGAACTGAACCGAAACCCCGGTTCAAAGAGCAAAAAACCCGCTTTGACGAACCAATCCAAAAGTGCAAAAATGGTTCGAAGCGCTGAACCGTACCGTCCAACTATTTCGCCCGGTTCACGTCCCTGTGTAAAACTGCAACCTGGCTGCCACTTAAAAACCGCGATAGTAAGCGTTTGGGCACACAAAGCACAACACTGTTATTCAGTACGATATGCCCCCAATTAATATGAGCAGGAGTTTACCGCCCATGAAGCACATTACTGTAAAAATGACTATGTTGACATACTCGATTCCGGACATTCCGCGGCCACCAGCCATTGTTGATTTCTCAGAAGACATCGATTTCCACCACCTGATGCACTACAGCTCGAATATATCAACTTGGATCATTATCGCAGGAGTCATCATGGGAATGATCGTCATCTTTCGGAAGCTATGTGGCCTCTCAACACGATATCTTCCCGC